AAAAAAAAAAAAAAAAAAAGACTCAGAACCCTTTTCGAGCACTATATTTGACCAAACCGCTAAGTGGCCGGTTGTGAACTTTCACAATCACAAGGCATTATAGGTGGTGACTTTCATTGCCTTATTATGCAGCTTGTATTTAAAGCCCTCACAACATACCCATCATCTCCCAAGAGGAATTAAGTTCCCCCAAACACTTCAAAAAAACATTCTCCACACTTATGGAGTTAGAGCGGGTCGATGCCACCGCCACCACACGCTCCGAGCGCTCCAAATGGCTCCTCGGCTCACCCGACCCACCGTCCCCCTGGAGTCAGCTTTTCACCTCAGTGAAGAAGACCGTTTTGCCCCCGGCGGAGTCAAAGCAGCCCAAGCCCACCCGCGCCCTCATCTTCCTTCACGGACTCTTCCCAATCCTCAAGTGGGGAAAAACCTACAAGTTCGCCAAATTCAAGAGTGACTTGCTGGCCGGCCTCACTCTTGCCAGCCTCTCCATTCCTCAGGTTCTCGTGTCAATTACCATTTTACCCTTCATTTGTACCGCGGCGTGGAATTTATTTAATCTACTGTATGTTTTTGTCGTCGCAGAGCATTGGGTACGCTAATCTAGCGAAACTCGATCCTCAGTACGGCCTTTGTAAGACGCGAAAATATACCACATTTAATAAATCATTGATTAGTTACATAATACTTATGTAAAATTTTATTTTATTTTTTATTTTTGAAGACACGAGTGTAGTACCGCCGCTGATATACGCTTTGATGGGGAGCTCGAGAGAGATTGCCATAGGCCCAGTGGCCGTGGTCTCGCTGCTGCTCTCAGCCATGGTTTCGAGGCTCGTCGACCCTTCAGTGGACCCCACGGCCTACCGTCGAGTTGTGTTCACCGTCACTTTCTTTGCCGGCACTTTTCAGGCGCTGTTCGGATTGTTCAGGTGTGGTCGGTGGGCTTTCTTGTCTTGGGCTATTTTTTTTTTTTACTGAATTCGAACCGTAAGATTTAATTTTACTTTTTTACCCACAGATTGGGGTTTCTGGTGGATTTTCTGTCGCATGCGGCGGTAATTGGGTTCATGGGTGGGGCGGCCATTGTGATTGGGCTTCAGCAGCTGAAGGGTTTGCTTGGGATTACACATTTTACTTCCAAAACCGATGTGGTATCTGTGCTGTCTGCCGTGGTTGAGGCGCTTCGACATCAGGTGGATTAAAATATAATAACCGATGTCAATTGTTTTTTAATTATTATTTTTTATTTGTATTAGTTGTGAAGTTTTTTTTTTTTTTNGAACCCGGTCAACTTTGTTCTTGGCTGCTCATTCCTAATTTTCATCCTGCTTGCCAGATTTATCGTACGTACACCTTTTTTATGTGGCTTGAGAATAATCACTTGAAAAATAATTATTTTAATGAAATAATGGGATAATATATAAATATATATAAGTAGTAATACTTAATTATATGTGATAGAGAAATTTCAAAATATGTATTTTACATATGTGATTGATTGAATAATAGATTTTATACATGCGTACTAATGATCGACTTTCATTCTGAAATTATATTACCAAATATGAGTAGACTGATGTTAATTATAAAAGTAAAATGTGTAAATAGTGTATTTTTTTATTAGATAATATTTTCATTTTATTTCTGGCTTGATTTTCACACACAAATGAAATTAACTTGATAATCTATTTACCAAACAACCCGTCTGTTGATGATTATAACTACATATGGTCTATCATAATATTTATTGATTAATTGTTTATTATTTTAGTAAATAATGGAAATAAAATCCAAATTAATTTCAGGGTCAGAAGAAGAAGAAGTTGTTCTGGGTGCCAGCCATGGCCCCTCTTTTGTCAGTCATATTGTCCACTTCAATAGTGTACCTCAGCAAAGGTGATAGTCATGGCATCAAAATTGTGAAACACTTCAAAGGAGGGCTAAATCCAAGTTCACTTCATCAGTTAGAGTTTGGAGGTCCTCATCTTGGGCCATCAGCCAAAATTGGATTGATATGTGCACTCATAGCCCTCACTGTCAGTTTACTACTTTATCTCTCTCAACTTGGTTTCCAAAATATTTAATAGCACAAATTTTTGTATGAGCCCAATTAGCTTTCATATGAATCGACCTGTCATATTTTTTTTAGCAAAATAAATACTTACTAGTACAACACCCATGTATTACATGGGTGCCGACGGTGCCTCATCCCGGATCGTTCATGAACGGGTTCATAAAAATGGGATGGATATCCGGACAAGTCAAATCCAGGACCGTCCCGGCTGGCGCCCACCCCTTACCATAAATAATCAACATATTATAGATAATCCGAACCTAAATATATTTGGATTACAAGTAAACTAAATCTATCCAAGCCTAATAACGAAGCATGTATTTTTGCCACATAGGATCACGAAGCATGCGAGCCTGCCAAATAGGCTCAGCACGTTCTCAATTAATATATAGGAGGGATACTATAAAATATCACGCTTTTATGTATGTTGTTAATCAGAGTATGACATTTTGGTTTAAAAGTTGTATTTATGTCGATAAACTATGAATGTCTAACAATAAGTCTGTCTAATACCATTTTTTGTTTTTTTTTTTTTTAATAATAGTAGGTCTATTGTAAGGTCTGCCTAACAAATTAGATTAGTCTAATTAATTTGTTTTCTTGTAAAAACACATGTCAAATTAATTTTGAGTGGGACAATTTGTGGCCCAGGAAGCCATTGCTGTTGGAAGATCATTTGCATCCATAAAAGGATATCATTTGGATGGAAATAAAGAAATGGTTGCCATGGGATTTATGAACGTTGTTGGCTCTTTAACCTCTTGCTACACAGCTACTGGTAATTATATACATATATATACATGTCGTTCTACTAATTTATTCCTTCTATAAATTCCTCTATTATAAGTCCATTATTTATTATTTTGTTTTATTGTACTTTTGGAGCAAATTGAATTCTTCGTGGACTACGAAATCACTACGCGGTTAATAATTGCACGTCTAGCTACCATCTAATAGCTCGGCTCTGGAATTAAAACAAAAAATAAAAATAAAAAAAAATAAAAAAAATAAAATAAAAAATAAGTAAATAAAATCGGGTTCATAAAAGATCTAGATAATATTCACTCTATGTACAATAGTTATTAATTATTACTACTCACTCGCCCAAGTCCAACCAATAACTTACCTAAACACATATATTTGGGTAGAATGCAGAAATAAAAATACTACCCACTAAGTAATTACAAAATGTTGCAAAATATATCCACAATTCATATATTTAATCAGAATGTTTGCTATTTGATTAATCAGTGGGTGTATTATACAATTACAAAAATTGCTGAGCATAATTGGTGTTTGCCCAAGTTATTGGTTATAACTTATAATATTGCAATTTACATAAGATATCAATATTTTGATCAGCCCTTGTTCATTGGAATAAACTAAAAAAAAAATAAAAAATTGACGATTCCCTTAATTAATTAAATATGGGGCATGCATTGCAGGCTCATTCTCAAGAACTGCAGTTAATTATAGCGCGGGCTGTGAGACAGTAATATCAAACATTGTGATGGCAATAACGGTCCTAATATGCCTACTCTTTTTCACCAAGCTTTTTTACTACACACCACTTGCTATCCTTGCCTCCATTATCTTGTCTGCCTTGCCTGGACTCATAGACCTAAACGAAGCCTACAAGGTATGGAAAGTCGACAAGCTCGACTTTTTGGTCTGTTTAGGTGCCTTCTTCGGAGTTCTGTTTGGTTCGGTCGAAATCGGCTTGCTAGTTGCGGTAAGATTCCATTCGAGCTTTTCTTTCTGCGTCTTAAATCCAATTTCTTATCGTTATATACATATTTGCGAAATGTGCCATCTTTGAAGTTGTTAAGTTTGAACAAATAAATTGATTTCATGAGCACCTAAAATTGAGGTTCTGAGGCTTATAAGATATGCCTATTTTCCTGATTTAATTATGGTGGGACACTTCACAAGTGATATTTCAATATATCCTCTCTCTCACTTGTGAATCTTTTTTTAACCTTTTTAGGTCAGACTTTGTTAGGTCATCGGTTAGATTTATATATTAAGGGGAAGTGGTGCGGAACCATAGAAGGTGAAGTGCACCTTCAGAAGGCGAGCCTAGTTGCTACTTAAGTGAAATTCAATCTTAAAACCAATTGGAGAGAAAAAGTAACTGGGGACTTATAAGCTAATTGATCAGATTTTCAGTTCCATTTTCATATTTCATCTCATATTTTATTCTGTTGGATGTATGACATTATTTCAATATGATATCACAATAGACATGTCTCATACAACATCCAATGGAACGAGACAACTTGCTTAGGACACTCTATTATTGGTAGGTCTTCAAAATAGTTGACTTACTTAAAATGGTGTCTTGTTAATGTTCTGTTCACTATATGCACACTGTTTAGGAGATTACGTGTTGGTAGGTCTTCAAAACGATGAGTTGATTAAAATGGTGTCTTGTTCACGTTAATTAACGTCTGTTGAGGACTCTTAAATAGTATTTATCACTAATGATAATCAGCTATCACTATATAAAAAAGGTCCTACATGGTATAACTTTTAATGATTAATTAGTATTCTAGGGTTTATCTATTTATTGATATATAGAGATAGTGTTGTCACTTAGTAATTCTTCCAATTCCCCTTGTATTGTTGTTTTGGATTATCAATTATCAATCTCCTCTTAATGTTGTTTTGCATTTCAACATGTAGGATAGAGTAATTTATAAGGTAGTGCAAGATTGTGCTACGTTTATGTGGTTGGTGCAGAAAGTATCATATTTTAACAGTAAAATCGTATAGTAAAATATTTTAGGATGGATTTTAAATAAAATTCCAACAGTATACCTTTCGATAAGAAAAAAAAAGCAATAATTAATTTTATATTGAATTTTAACGATTCACAACTTTAATTTCTATCTGCTAGAATTATTATGGGAAAAAGATTATTAGTTCTGATGTACAATGTGACAACAACGAACCATTTGAAAAGTGCATTTGAAATTATTAAATCTAACGAACTTTCAAAAA